ATCAACCACTAGCATGGTGCAGAAACATAAATAAGCCCAGTCCAGACGAGCAGAATTACTCAACTGAGCCCAAGCCAAACAGCCTACCTATAGAATCATAAGCAAAGAAGTTGTTATTTTAATTCACTAAGTTAGCAAAAGGTAATGGATACAAATATTTATGGAATCTGATTCACAGAAAGAACCCAGAACTTCTACAGAAAAATACAAGCTTTAAAAGCACAAAGAAATTTTATTTAAAACCTGTTACTGGTGTCTGGGGGCAAGTAAATTTTGCATGATGGGTTTAGTTGAGGAGTACTGGAAGTTGCTATACAGAAACCTGACAAGACCAACTGAGAGATGTGTCATCTTCCTGCAGTGGTATCTAAAATGATAGATTTTAGAAGTCCTTTTTTCTATCCTTTCCTATAGAGTCAAGAGAAGACAAATCATATCTTCAGTAAAGATGGTTAAAACATCACTGTGGACTAAGGAGTTTATGATGCAAAACTCAAATACTGAAGAGTACCAGTGACACTCTTAGAGCTCCTTCCAAAGAACGCGGAGACTTTATAAGTCTGTAAATAGAATGGATCTAGTAAGGCAAAATTAAAAAAAAAAAAAAAAAGAATGGCAGGGAGGGCAAATATTACTAAAAAACAGCGTTTAGATCTATGAGCAATGGCTTAAAATACTGAAATGATAGGTTGATGTCCAGTGATAAGGTGCATCTCATAAAGCAGGGAAGGGCATACTTGTCTGGCCTTATATTACTGAAGAGACAGGGAGAAAGGAAAACAAACAAAACTAAACTCTGAATTTAGTTACTACTCAGAGCTTTAAGTCTGAAATGAAAAGAGAAAACAAGTGAGGGTAGGCTATCAATTGTTCACATGAGAAAATAACTGAGAGTGAAAAACTGCATTTATAGCTTCAGATACATTTATACCTGACATTTCTTTATACAGGCAGTATATTGTGGCTGTCAGAGCATCAACTCTGGAGTCAGACTCCCTAGGTTTAAAAACTTCTGTCATTAACCAGCTCTGTCACCTTGGGAAAGTTATTTAATCTTTCCATGCTTTAAGTTCTTCATTTGTAAAACAGGAAAAGTACCTAGCTCATAAGAAATTTTCTATAAATATCTGCTCTTATAACTATTCTTGTGGTGGTGGTTATAGCTGCAATGAACACAGAAAGCATCATAAAGTAAACTTGGAGAATGTGATTAGTAAAAACAATGTAATGAATATTACTGTGATTTAGTGAAAATCACATATTAACTCCTTTAATCCTCAGAAAATTTCTATTGTGTCCATCCTGCAGCTGAAAGACTAGGCCCAGAAATAGTATATAACTTATCCAAAATCACATAAATAATAAATGTCAGAGCCAAACTTTGTAGACAATACGGACCCAGCATTTGTGTTCTTCTCTTAACTCCTACACGGTGATACTAGCTTCCAGGAACGGGACTCATGACAGAATACAGAGATGGACAGAAACTCTCTAGATAGCTACTTGGGGGAAAACTTACCCTTATTTCACATCATACATAGAAATCAATTCCAAATGGATTGTGGCTCTAAATACAAAAGGTAGAAGGAAAAAAACCTCTGAAGACACACAAAATTATCTGTATGACTATGAGTAGCAAACTGATTTCTTAAACAACACAAAAAGCACAAACCATTGGAGAATATAAATGAACATATTTCACTTCAGAACTTTTATTCATTAAAATCATTTGAGAGAGATTGCAAGTAAGAAGGTGAAGAAATTTGCTGCACATATAACAAAAAGCTCATAATCAGAAAACTAAAAAACAAAATAAAAAGTCATAAACCAATTAAAAATATAGACTTCATGAAAGAGATATCCAAATAGCCAATAAACATACGAAAAAGTGTTCAATCTCACTGGTCATCAGGGAGATGCAAAATGAAACGATGAGATACCACTATACATACACCAGAATGGCTATAATTATAAAAACTGACAGGACCAAGTATTGATAAAGATGTAGAACTATGAGAACTACCAAACATGGCTGGTGAAACTATAAACAACTGATGTAGAAAACAAATTATGACCCAGTATTTCCACTCAAAGGTATACACCCATCAGAAGTACATGCACACCAAAAGATTGCAGCAATATTCAGTGTAGTATTATTCAAAATAGCCCCAAACAGGAAATAACCCAAATGCCTATCAACAACTGACTAGATAAATTGTAGTATGTTCATACAATAGACTACAGTACAATGAAAATGAATGAACTACAGACATGAAGAGGAATAAACGTCATAAACATAACAGTGAAATAGGCTAGACAAAAATGAATACATACTATGATACCATAAAGTTCAAAAACAAGTCAAGACTATGGGATTATTAATCAACACTCCTGAGGTTAACAGGAGTAGAAATTAAGAGGATGTACTATGAGGGCTCTGGGGTGCTGTAATGTTTCTATTTCTTGACTTGGATACATTTAGCTTGTATTATTAATTGAAATGTACATTTATGACTTGGGTTCTTTTTTCTATGTATGTTGTAATAAAAACTGATTTTAAAAATATACTCATGCTATGTCAAAAAAGCACTCTCTGAGCAGCTAGTTGTTTCTCAAAAATATCTTAAAAACAAGGATGTAGTCTGCAAACCATCACATTAGTTTTATATTATCCAAGTCTTATCTTTAAATCACACACACACACATACATACACTCTAGACCTACTATGTGTGGAACCCTATTATAATCTGTGCTATCTCAAACTAACTGCATTTGAAGAAGCACAGCCTAGCTGATATTTATAAATATTCTGACTTAAAATATGCCAACAGAAGTAATATCCTCTATTATACATAATAAAAATACACTAAAGTGACTTTAAATAATATGATCATGGGGCACTGAATTTTTTTAATCTCCCCAACCTTCTCCAACCAGGAGTACAAAAACAAAGAAAAAGCACGAAAAACAAAATAACAGAAAACAAAGAGAACATCTTCAAAAAAACTACATTACAGGTAATCCTCCAAAACCCTGTAATGTGGTTTTTATCACCAACAGTGGCAGGACCTCCAAAAGATCAATGGCTGTATGATAGGGGTATATATGGTAGGATGGACAACCTACTACTCTACAAGCCTCAGAAATGAAAAAAGTGTGAATTGATGAATCTGCAAATGGCCTGCAAAACCAGGACAGTCTCAAAAGCTCCAAATCAAATGTGACGTTAAACAAGTCTAACAGTCTACAACCTCAAAATCTCTAAAATGTCCTGCAAACACTCTCTTCCAGGAGGAAAAAAACCTCACACTGAAGGATAATCACCAGAAACTGAAACCAAAACAGGGCAGAAACACTAGGGGGAAAAGGGAGAGATGGTTCAGATAAGGGAAAGGAGTAGATGAGAGGAAGGTAGTGATGTCCACAGGCAGCAAATCCCAGAATAAAATAAAACAACAAAATGCAGTATTTCAAGCTGAGAGCAACACCTCAAAATTCAAGATCTATAGAGCTCTAAGAGTAGAACAGAAGGCTGAAGACAAAATCTTTCTGAACCAGACTAGTTCTGAGAAAGACTGTGTATACAGAAAGGTCGTATTTAAATTCTCTATAACAAAAAGGAAGCCATAAAAAGACAAGTTGGGAAAGTTATCCTATCTCCGATGCCCTCTCACTCCAGAAAAACCTTCCCCTAATAAAAACTATCTGATTAAACAAGGAGAACAGCAAAAACAAAAAGAGAATACGATTAACTCCATAAAAAATTAATACAGAAAATAACAGAAAAAGATTTGAAAGAAAATGAATGACAGAGGAAAGAGGTGAGAAAGGAAATCTAATAAACTTATAATTAGAGACCTGAAAAAAAACCTTGGGCTATCAAACAGAAAAAATATTTAACACAAAGCAACTCTTCTCAGATTAAAAGAGGATTAAATTTACATATTAAATGGGTCTACTGTGCATTTGGGAAAACTGACCCAATAACAATCAACAAAACATACTGTAGTAAAACTACTGGATTTTAATGATAAAGAAAAAAATTCCTTTGGACATCCGGACAAACAGTCTAAGTCACTTAGGGAAAGAAAATCAGGATGGAATAAGACTTCTTAACAGCAATATTTTATCCTAAAACACAATGGAACAATATGTTTAAAATACTTAAGTAAAGGGCGCCTGGGTGGCTCAGTTGGTTAAGCGACTGCCTTCGGCTCGGGTCATGATCCTGGAGTCCCGGGATCGAGTCCCACGTCGGGCTCCCTGCTCAGCAGGGAGTCTGCCTCTCTCTCTGGCCCTCCCCCCTCTCATGCTCTCTATCTCATTCTCTCTCTCAAATAAATAAATAAAATCTTTAAAAAAAAAAATACTTAAGTAAATATAAGCTAAAGGTTGTATAAAAAGCCAAACTATCCCTCAAATATAAAGACTACAGAGAAATAAGTTTATAAACATGCAAGATGTAAGAAGATATTATTTTGCCATGAGCTCTTCCTGAAGAATCTCCTAGGGACAAGCTTCAGAAAATGAAGAAATGAGGGAAGAAGTTTCAGTTAAGATCTGACATATAAGCAGAGTACAAAAACTTTTTTATATAGTCTGGCTAGTTTACATTTAGGCTTTTCTTCCTCCCTTTTAATTACCTGAGATACTCTAATTAATAATATGTTACACACCCAATCTGCTTCTGAAATACACTGCACAATTTACCTTTTCTGGATTTTTAGAATTACTTTTTATTTGCCAAATGTTCACTACTGAAATTTCCAGATAGTAAGGCTACTTATGGAATCATAACAGGGTAACGGACTTCTTTTGAAAAAAGAAAAAAAATAAGTGATCCTACAAGTTAATTCTACACAATTAAAACACATTTGATTAAGACCAAAAGACATAAAAGTCCAATGATAGACATTTGGCTTTGTAGTCTGCTGAAACAAAAACAACTAAGAAATATATTAACTGACCTATATGATAATATAAAATTATCAATACTGACCTGATAAGCTCTGTTTATTTGACTAGCTGCCCAACTAGCATATTTCATGTTGTCCTTTTTTGTTTTTGCACTTGCTTTTGGATTAGAAGCAATATGACTTGCCGACTAAAAACAAAAAAGAAACATCAAAAACAAAATTCCTTTTTTCTAGCCAAGATAATAATAATAAAAAAAAAAAAGTAAGGGTCATATTTGCAATGGGATAACAAAGAGTACCAAAACAATTTTAAAAATAAAGTGGAATGATATTAGTGTTTAAAAATGAAAATATAGTTTAAAATATAGAATAAAGTGACAAAAAGAGAAAGAGCATCTTAAATACCTAAATTTATTTTATTAGTTATCTACCACAACTGTTAATGGTAAAATTAAATACCTAAATACTGTAGAATATCACTTAAATACTGTAGAATATTGAAGGTCATTATTATTGTTATTAAATTACTATTTCTAGTTCTTTATTACTATATTACTTCAGCTTTCCTATGTCAGAATTATAGAATTATTGAATATTGATGTAAGAAGGAATCTCAAAAATAATTTGGTCCAATTTCCTACATTAACAGGTAAAAAAAAAAAATTTAAGTCCAATAGGAGTGATTTGACTTGACCAAAGCAAGTTACTGAAAGCCTTAAAAATAGAAAGAGATCCTCATTTCCAATCTAGTCCTCTTTTCACTTTACCAAGAGTTTCCAAACTATGTTGCACAGCACCAGTTAGAATGACTGCAACTTGATCAATCCATCCTCTCCTTTTAAAAAATGTACTTAAACAAGGGATTGTTAATCTAGGATCCATGAAAGAATCTGTAAACAACCAAAATTAAATACTAATTTTTAAGCATATATTGTATTTCTGGGGAGAGGAAGATCTTTGATCTTATGTGTAAATATATCTGATTCTTAAGAGGATTCATCCATGTGATTTAAAAAAAAAAAATTAAGCCTTTCTTTTATACCTAGCCTGTGTGACAGGCTCTTTCCCACTCTCTCCTCCTCTGTCAGTGAGGAATTTAGGAATTTATTGGCCAAAATCTTATTTTTACACCTGTATGTCTTTAATGTCACCTCTTTCATATGAATTTTAGCAAATGCAGTGATTAAGAGAATGACTCTGGAATCAACTGACGGAGCTGATATCCCAGCTCAACCACTTAGTAAGTCTGTGATCATCTTTCAACAAATTAACTAGACCTCTCTGTGTCTTAGGTTCACTTTCTGTGAAATGGTAGTAATAACAGTGTCTTCTCAAATAGTTGATATGAGGATTTAAAATTAAAAAAGAGCTCAAAACAATGCCCTGCACATAAAGTGTTATGTATAAAATATCATTAATAATCTATTGTTATATATTTTTTAAATTAATCTTTCATTTATTTGGTAAAAAGAGACAACACCACTACTATACTGTACCTCTAACCTACTACAGTTGGCACTGGTAGATCCAGGAAAAATTTCTTGAAATTCCTTTGAACTATTTTCTAATCATATTTTGCCATTCCTTTCCTAAAAATTATTTCATTTATATTTCTTCCTGCCTCTATTTCTGCAATTGATTCTTTTTCACTGATCCCCGACAAGACATTCATCCAAAAGTCCTTGAAAAGACCAGGATAAATTAAAATTTCAAAGAACTGGTCTATTAAAAAGAGGTTTTCTGATTGTAGGGAGGGGCTTATTTTATGTATATTTTAAAGCTCAGCAAATTCTTCCTCTATTTCCCATAGCTCTTGTTAATTGACTTTTCTAAACTCGTCATTTGGCATACATAAACCATAGAAATATTTAATTACATGCTTACCACAATTTCCAAGCTCTTTTCTGTACCATAAAAAAATTTTAATTTGACAGTAGAGATTTTTTTTGCTAATGTCTTTTATTGCATAGTTTAAAACTATGTCATACAATTATAATTTAAGGTAAGAAATACAAAATAATGTTGGGCATAAACCCAAGAACATCAAAACAATTAAGATACAAATTATGGTTTTGTATCTGTTCCTATTTAATAAAAAGGCAGATTTAAATTCTGATACAATAGAAGATATTTTATAATAAAATGTCAAATAGTTAGGATGTATTAACATTTAAAAATAAAACTGCCTTACAACCTATTGCTCATATTTAACGAGAGGAAAAAAATATGCTTATCAACAAAATACAAACAAGAGGGAAGTGACTGGATGGGATGGTTAATGGACTTTAAATGACAGACTTCGTAAAATAACATTAAACATGCACCTCTACTCACCATGTAAAGCCCAAACAAAGCTCTCATATTTCTGTTGTTCAGTTTCAGTGCCTGAGCAAAATACTTTCTTGAAAGTTCGAGGTTTTCAAGTCCACCCTGGGTATATTTAACCTGTTAAAAATTGCAGAGTGCTGAAACCTGTTTATTTTACTACTTTGAAATATAGCATGTTTCATCATACCATAGGCATTAGTAATTGAAACAGATATTCTGTAAACAAATGCAAGATGTTAAAAGAATTCATCTTAAAGTTGTTAAAGCTAAAATTTTAAAGCATAACCTCCCTGAAAAACCTATTCTATGAACATTAAGATCACAGAGTACTTTTTAAAACAAAATGTTGTCAATAAAAAAGCCAATATAATTTCTTTTTCAGCTGCCTTGCTAATGCCTCACGACTTTATATTTTCTATTAGTAGCATTCTAAATCTATACTTACATACTGAGTTGCCCTTTTCTAGTCACCTTGACATTCATTATTAATGAAATGCTTCTAACCTTACAGCATTCAACTGTATTACTATTCTTAATAGTAAGGTAAATACTTCTTACTTCTAAAAATATTGATCTTAATATGAATTTCCTAGAATATGGATTTAAAAATCATAATCATTGTAAATGCCTCAGAAGCCATTAAATGGTGACAACTGTGGCATCATTAATTCATGATTAGGAAAGAAAATATACAATAAAAAATCCAAAGAATTTCACTGTTTTAAGTAAGCACTTTTATTTTTAAAGCCATATTCCCATTATAATATTAAAAATGTAAAGCTTTTACACCTACAGTCAGTTTTCATCAGATGTCTTCAATATTTATATATGTGCCTCACATTAAGGACATATTCTTAGTTCCAAAATAATACCTAACACCAACAAAAATAAAATCATATACAACTGTTGTTTTTGAAAGCACTTACTTCAGCATACTGCTGACAGTATAAGTGGTTGTGTGGATTAGTCATCATTAGCTCCTCTAAACAAAAGGCTGCTTTAGCATAGCTGAAAAATATGACGAGGAGAAATCAATTTTAGAAGTCACATATACCATCTTAGCTAAAATAAAAATAATTAAAAATAATTTAAAGCAATGCTGGAAAATAATTTTAAGACAATTTTAGTGATGTTAGACATTTTATTCCCCAAATTTAAAAGCTTCAGTAATAATATACTTGCTATGCTGAATTCTTAAATACAAATAACAAAGGCTTAAATTCTGAGGCAGCCTATGAACAATCAGTAGATACTACATCCTTAAAACTGGGTCACTATTATGACATCCAAACATTATTCACAACACAGACTTCACAACCTTGGATCAGGTTACATATAAAATAACTTCAAGTCCATTGATCACTGAATAAAATACTCAAATAGCTAAAGTGTAAAGAGGAAATAAACATTTTATTAAATACTATCTATTCACAAAAGTCCTTTATTGACACCTATCTACCAACATTCTATTATAAAGACTTTTCATTACTTGTTTGCCAATATGAAATCTAATGAAGTTATAAATTTTTAAACCCATGAAAAATAGATCAAGTTAGTGGTTTTGATATGCACTCTACTACTATTTCATCATGTGGTAAAGAAACAAACATCTTGCTAAAAACCTGAGGAGAGGACTGCTACAAAGGGCTCTGGAAAAATGGTTTTACACCACATGACTGTAATTCCCCTCAATGTATTTTATAAGTTTAAAGCAATGCGAACATCGCCACTATTTATAGGAAATCCTAAAGAACAAAGGTGTTGTAAAATTTATTTCCAGTGAAAGGTGACGACAGTACCCAACACAAAAAGGCTACCTACAGTTATTTTTGGCATTTATCACCAACACACAAAGCTACCTGTCTTTACACTAAGTCTGATATACTTACTTTTCAAAATATACATCCTGCAGTTTCACATAACGTGTACTAATAACAGCTAACTTGTATTATTAGTGCTCATTATGCATGCACTTCTCTAGGTGTGTTATATATATTAATTCATTTAATCCTACCAAAACCCTGGGAAGTAGGAAATTATCACCATTTTATAGTTGAAAAGGCACACAGATGCAAACTGAAACCTAGGCTGTGCCACTGCAGACAGCCTGCTCTTAACCACTGTGCATACTGCCCCTACATACTCCACTCAGTGAAAAACCGTGGTAATGATGGCAGTGATGAAGAGGTCAATGTAACAAAAAAATGGGTACAACAATCAAACCCAAAGGGCCTGAGAATCCAAAAACACCCTATAGATTACCAAAAATCATAGCATTTTAGATGTATATATACACACTGTTATCAAGGATCATACAGCTATTTAGCCTTTTTCATTTTTATACCCAAAACCTCGCACTGGTTCCTGACATGTGATAGGTATATAATAAATGCCTGAACAAATGACTGAACAGATGTCTAGAACAAAAGTATTATAACTACCTATCTGATATATATTTATCATTCTATAAAAGAAGAAAGTGGTCTCTACCTTAAACACTCAACTTTATCAGAAAGACAGTTCCTTCTAAATATGTTCCTTTTACTGAAGTGATGCAAAAATTCATATTAATGCTAAGAATAAATGTTCTTACAGATTTAAATGGGTTGAGCACAACTGTGACTCTGGTTTTTATACAAAATAAAGTAAGATAAAATAGGCAGGTACGAGTTTCTACTGAAAAATAAATGCCAAGATATTTTTCTCAGAAATTATTCAGTATCACATACAGAAGAGGATCCCTTGCTTCCAATTTTACAAAGTATAAAATCAAACTAATTTTGTGGATAAAGAACCAAATAAACTTAGAGCTAAAAGGAGAAGATGGTCCAATACAGTTTTCTCCAACAGAGGTTCACTCAAGAGTATTTAAACCATATGGAAAGTGACTAGAGTGACCATTTTCTCAATTCTCCCAAAAATGATACATAGCCAATTCCATTTCAAATGCATAAAAAAGTTAATTCATTACATACAATGCCTCAATGATTAGAGAATTAAGATTATTTGAATCTATTTAAAATAACTACTAGTATTAGTATGTTAGAGTCAATAACTAAATAAAGTTTCAAAGTTCTTCTGTTCCTCACAAAAGCGTTTGTGTAGGTTACATATCTATCCCTACATTGTTTTATCAACATTATGATTTTTCCTTGTAGGATTTTGATAATTCCGTTTGTTATAGAATTTTATAGTAAGGCTGAACCTACAAAAAGGAACCACAGTCACAATCATAATTAATTTATATTATTAATTGCTCCTTGCTGATAGAACATCTAGTTTTAACTACAAATCAAATAAAAAAAGTGTCTTTGTTCAAAATACATATTTTTATTTATAATATTGGTAGTACTAATGTACACATCTTAACTAATTTTTTATACTTAGAACAAGTAAAATATCTCAATATGGTCAAATAGTGTGATATATATCACTGCAATCACTAAATAGAAACCAGAATTTACAAATCAGAAGCAAATTTAAATAAAAGAAACTTAAAGATATTTAAAAAAAAGCATGTGGCAGAATTCTATATCCTCTTTAATCCCTGTAACAACAATGAATAGACTTATATGAACATTCTACTTTGGAAATTTATTTGAAGTAAAAATTCTAGATCTATAGTAGCAATGCTGCCTATGACCTATTATATTTAAAAGAGCTTATTCCTACTTATTCTTATGCAAAAAGAATGCCAAAATGAAAAATAGATCTCACAACTCCTAAACTGCTACATTTTGCCACTGTGCCCACAAAACTGACATCCCACAGTAACTTACCTCTTTGCCAAAAACAAACAAACAGTAAAATGAAAAAACCCTACCTACTACAATGACTTGCCCAAATAGGTTAAAGGAATTAAATGAACAGATTCTGATTTTCACATAGTTTCAAAAAATCTGGAGATATTTATTTCCACTCACCCTAAACCTGAATATTCCCTCTGTGTTCAATTAGAAAAAAATAAATGGGAGGTCATTTTGTAAATAACTAGCTTCAAGACCAAAAAAAGTTTTGTGATACAAGATAAAAGAAGAGGTTGAACACAATTATCATTTCCCCTAAAAGGAAATTACTTTTCAGGTGCTTTTTTGTCTTTTTATTTCTTGATTTCTTGGGATTTTTCAGGTCATTTCTCTTAAGTATACATTCAACTCTATCTCAGTGAACTCTTTAGAAACTCAAAGCAAAACTAAATGTGGCAATTACAAGGCGAAGCAAATAATAGTAATAAATTTAATTATAGGTTAAAAATAAAGTATGGCCTATTTTAGAACTAAATATAAAACTATTAGAAACATATGCAAAAAAATAAAACTGAGAAAGAAGAAAGAAAACAGAGGTGGTATATTTATGTAGTTCTTAGAGGACATAAAGCAATAAAAACTGATATATCTGACTATATAAAAATATGACGTTTCTATAAGTTAAAAAATCAATATTAAAAAGACATATAACAAGGATATATTTGACAAGGCAAAGGTTCATATCATTTATATAAAGAGCTATTAAAATTTTTTAAAAGTTGTAACCAATTTTCACCTAACAAAATTTACAGACTAAAAAGAATGATAGCACCCAGTGTTAAGGGGATGTTAATAACTGCTGATGTGAGAGTAAACTGATGTTACCTTTCCAGCGAAGAACTAGAAATGATTTATCAAAACCACTAAAAATGTGCATATCATATAATCAAGTAATTCTACTTCTAAGAATTTAGTCCAAGGAAACAAAATAATTAATACAGAATTATAGTAAAAATGAAAAAAAAAGAAAAAAAAAACAAGCTTTCTATTCCCCTAGGAAACTGATTAAGAACACTAGAGTACATTAATAAGATGGAATAATATAAAGCCATTAAAATCACACAGTGAAATATTTATTGTGATAAGAAATGTCTGTCAAAACATAACTAAGTGAAAATCATAAACTATAAAAGATAATTCTATCTTAGGTTTCTGTTTCAAGAGGTACTGAAGAAAAAAATATAAATTGTAGATAAGTTAAGATGATGCAACTACACTCAATTTGGTCTTTACTCTTTATTGTGTTTTCCAAATTTTCTTCATTAGGTATCTCTTTAATTAAAAAAATTCTTTGATTAATCTGAAATGTTTTTTAAAGCTTTTAATCACACCATCTTCAAAAGGCACAAAACCATTTTAAATAACTGTCATCTGTTTTAGGGACAAAATAAAACTAATGTTAATTGTTTTACTGCACTCCAAAAACTCAGTTTCATGTTATTTAAATTATATACTATATACTTTACAAATGTTGACTTTAAAGCTATGAAAAATGGAACACCTGAACTAATATAACACTGTATGTTAACTATACCAGAATAAAAATAAAAATAAATTTTGGAAAAAAGCTATGAAAAATGGAAACATCACCATTTAAGCCAAATGCCCTACCACTCTCACATACATAAGAGAATCCTGAGTACGTTTACATATGTGATCATATAAGCATACATACATCTAATATGTCCGTGATTCAGGAAATAATTTCCTAATGAAAAAAAAAAAAAAGATTCTGACTGCCAGAGCACAGAAGAGAACTGAAGAATAGTTCCCACAATACAGTACATATTCATTAAATCACAGCTATTACTTTTATTTTAGCCTCTGGTTTTACTAGAAATACGCAGATAACTACCTTAATTCTCCATTTCACATTACACATATAGCCCTGGGCAAAGCTAAGACATAGTGTCTTCATTCTATCTTATTTCCTGCGTCAGCTATTTGTAGTATGAGAATGAGGTTAACTATTCATACACAGTAAGAATATGCACATGAGAATCTGATTCTATTCCCTCAGAAAGAAGAAACGAAACAATGTGATATACTTCAGATTTAGAAGAACTAAGGGGAAAAAAAAAATCCTGCCTGTAGATGGAGTTTAGCATTAACGCTGCAATATTAGAAAACTTGCACTAAGACGAGGCTAATCCTCTCACACTGGGATTTCCTCCTGTCACTGCATCAATAAAAAAGCTAACAAAAACATTAAATATCCAATAAGCAAGTTCCTACAGCATTCAACATTCTTGATCATTCCTGGTCTTTTACCCAGGCAACAGAATGCTTCTACTTTGGAAGAGTTGATTCTCTTAATACGAAGGCTAATAAATGCATACAATTGACAGAATTTTTAAACAGCAGGGAGTATAATACTCTTTGTATATTAGAACAATTTAGACTCTAAAAATTCACAATTTTGAATCACTAAAAATAGTCTTAGCTCAGCAAATGCAGACCTTTCTAATTCCAAGGAATCCATCTGTATTTGAAAAAAAAAACTTATCTCTCAAACAAAAATAATTTAGCAAAACACAAATGACCTAATTAAAGCAATTCACATATTATAGACAACAAACTGATGATTTTTCATTTATTTATTTTGTTCATTTAAAATGACATGATTCATATCCTCTCACCGAACTTTCAGAAACCAAGTCTTCTGAACTTATATAATAGTGATAAAAACTGCACTCCTACTAAAATTTACAACTTACTCATGTTCATTGATATATAGTTCTGCAAGTTCATGCCAAGCTTCTTGGTCCCCAACAAATCTGGTGAGAGGAAAAGGGGAGGAAAAAAAGTGTGTAGATATTCTGTAAATGAACAGCATGGAGGCAAAAAGGAAAATCAAATGCAAATTCCATTTTAATTAAAAAAGATTTATCAGAATAACAAAACACAATCCTCTTGTAAGACACTCACTGTTCCAGATACTCATTCAGTTCCCGAATGGCCTCCACATTTTTCCCCTGAGCTTTTCGAATGGCAATCTTACGCTTTCTTGCAGCCTATGGGTTGACATTAATAAAGGATTAGGCCCTCATGATTCCCTGGGTTTTTGTAAAGAAGGTAATTTGACTGTGCAAATTATTATCTCAATGCCAGTGAAATTCCATTGTAGAACTACTGCTTAGTGGGAGTTTATAAACATACCCCATGACATCCCACTGGGGAATTCAAACATTCCTCTAACAATCACATATGCTTTACTTTTGATGTACACAATGTATGCATCATTTCATTCAAATAAATAACCATCCAGATTCTGATAATTACAAGCCAGCAGGGAATCCTAATCTTTACCCAGCCTAAAGTCCTTTACTCTGTCTCATTCATAAGATTTGTATGTTAAGAGATAGAGGGATAGTGGAGATTAGGAAAAAAAAAAAATCTCACCATGGCCACATGAATTATAAAATATAGCTCCTGATAACTTTTTTCACAGTTTTAAGAGAAATAACTACCTGTAAGTCTTTCAAGAATAACACAGGACCAGAAAAAAATATTTTATAAATAAACAAAACATCTAAACTTGCATTTTAAAGTTTTTAAAATGATAAATATAAATATCAGTGTCATTGATTTATGCATTCATCAAATATGTACTGAACATCTGGTTTGACAGGTACTGTGCAAAACAATGAAAATATGAGGACAAGAACAGATAATTCCTCATTATCTCATGAGATGCTCATGAGAAAAAGACACAGCAAATAAAAAGACAATGATAGAGATATCTAGGGTGTCATGCAACATGGAGGAGAGCCTAACACAGGCTGCGGCAGAATGGAGGAGGTGTAAGGGCCAGAAGCAAAGAGGGCCCCAGATGTGATACCTGTACTGAAATAGAAAGAGCAAGGATACATTAAAAAAGCAAAAGAGGGAACTGTTTGAAGAACAGGGCACAGATGGAGGAACATAGAACAAAAGTAAAGAAGACAGCAACAGTGTGTGTAATCAATATTATCCATTTGAGGCTGGAGTTAACAGGGACTGGAGGGCACTATGCAAATTATTAAATTTGTATCTCTTCCATCTCTGTTTAATTCAATGCAGATAGCTAAGCAATAAAACAAACAAAAGCTATAGCTAAGTTTATTAATTATGAATATGATTGTTATTGTTTTATATAATACACATTCCACAAGAGGTAGACAAGGAAAGTAAAATGAATGGGGCCTCTTTGACAAATGGAGCTACCTGCCATGGGTGGAAAAGGTGGGGGTTTTTCTCTGAAAAAGTGAGAGTCAAAAAATCAGAGAGAATCAAGAGACTCCCAATAAATAAACCATGAGTGATATTTATAGTAACAATGATAACAACATTTTGGCAACAAAAAATGAAATGTGTTAAAAAATGTATTATCCTTGATTATTCAGCTCATGCCAAAGGCCTAACACAATGCCTGCCAAACGGTAGGTACTCAAATATTTTTGGAATAATTTCACTATGTACAACAATGAAAGTGCCATAATAAATGTACCATTTAAAAAGCCTCAAGAATTCAGAAAGAAAGTAAAAGAAAAGCTCTAAAAGTAACTCAATCCTAAAGACTTTACGAAGAATATTAGACTTCAAATGAGAGTCTTCTCCCAAGTTCTTCTGAAAATAGGTGATGGATAAATTAACATATAATTAAGAAACTAATTTATTTTGGATATATCATATCTAATTTCACCAATCCAACATCATTTGAAACATTTAACTCTTTATTCCTTTCATTTATCATAATACTACTTCTTCTATAGACAATATGGTAGAACAGAGTCCACATTTTAAAATAAAAAAGACAAGAAACAAATCCCAACTCTTGGCACTTACCAGCTTTCTAACCAAAGGCAAAAAATACTACCACATGCTGACATAAGAACCAATTTTTACTTATCATGATAATTTTAAATAAGCATTAAAGAGGGATTTCATTTCTGGCCAAGACGGGATCAGATTTACCCTCTTGCCTGAACCAACCAAAGAACTAGATTAAATACGCAAAATAATTTTTAAGGCACAGGACAACAGGCAACAAAGAACAGTGATCCCTGAGGGGCTGGAAACAAATGAGGTGAGCCCTGTTTTTATTGCCCTGGCTCATCACTGCTTTGAGAGAGTTTCAGGGGTCCTGTGCAAGAAGAGAAAATCAGGTTGAGTTCAGTGGACTCCGTGAGTTGAGAAGGAGCGGAGAGCTCAGGAAGATTAAAGGCTAGAGTTTGTAGGCATAGCACTGGAGAAGAAAGAATACAGAATAAAAACTCTAGATTCCTCTTAAATCTCAAGGGCTTCCCTCGAGTACTCAGCCTTGTACTGATCAGTGCATGTGTGTGAAAAAACTACCCAAAGCCAAGGAAAGAACCACCAGAAAAGTTTAGGGGGAAGTGTCTGGAGCTCACATAGGGCTGGGAATAGTGCCTCTTCCTACCAGCCAGACTGGAAAACGCCATGATTCCTGTGGCACTGGCTAGAATACCCAGAAGGATGTAATGGGGAGTAACTAGCTAGCCCTATAAGCACTTTCTGGACCTCTCTAACAGAGACCCAAAAGGATCAAATTGTTTTCAAGTAACTTAATTATATCCCACAAGAAAGCTCAAGAACATATTTTGGGAATATAAAAATGGCAAAGAGCAAAGAGAACTTTTGAAGATGATAGTTTTGTTCACTGTCTTGACTGTGGTGATGGCTTCACAGGTGTATACAAACATTAAAACTTAACAAATTGCACACCCTACTTAAATATATGCAGTCTATTCTACATCAATTATATGTCAAAACAGTTTTAAAATAGTATTAATTGGACTAAATGTTAAGTAGTCTTGAATATTTATCAATTTCCATTTATTTCTTTTAGTTTTGTTTTTTTTTTCCTGTAAAATATGTCAATGTTCTGAATTTTTCTAAATGTCTCATTTGGATCAATCTTTGCAAATGTCAGTTTAAGTCTTAAAAATGAAAACTGTTCTACATTTTATAAGTGATTTTAATAACAGTCAGAATTCCTATTATAAAATATAAAATATTAATGACCATGAACAAATCTTCATCAAACTTGCTACATGCCTTCTGTAACATTATGTACAAGGGGGCTACCCAGCAATTCTTCCTGAAACTCTTGTCATATCTTAAAAAATAAGGTACGGGGTGGAGGGGTAGGCGGGGGGAGGGATACTACTTAGGAAAGGATTAAAGGATTAAGGTCTACCAGCAAAATACAATCTACATCTCTCCCTACTGCAGATTCTGGGACCCAGAAAGAAACAGACCATTGGCCAACAGAAGGAAAGCAGTATTCTGGGTTCTTCCAGGGCTTATGCCCATGATCGTGGGAAATGTGACATTCTAAAAAGCATCTTCACCCTTGGCACAGAGGCAATTACGTCTAATTCTAAAACAAAACTTCAAATATTTGATAAATCACAATAGGCAGTTCACAATTCAAGGTAAAATCTGATCTTTCTGAAATATGAAATTCAACTAAAAAGACAATAATTAACATACTTCCTTCTGAAAAGTATTCATTCAGCAAGTATTCACTGAAGGCCTACCATATGCTAGGCATTAGTTCATGCAATGGACATAATTTTTTCCCTCAAGGAGCTTTCAAAGGAAGAAAAGCCTACTTTTATTTTAAAAGCAAGCAAACAAAAACCTGACTGGTGCTTAGGCAACCTAAGGGATAAAAGCTCAGTGAACCTAATCCAATATTTGACTCTCACAGGTTAATGACTAAAACTTCCACATTTGAGAGTTACCCTTCTAAAAACCATTCACGGCTAACTAATTTTAATTGTTTGTGTACTTTCACTGCAAAATATTCTTTCATCCATTCCCTATCCCTTCCAATTCCATTTGTCCTAGGTTTAGACCCCATAATCTCTGGCCTAGGACTGAGGGGCCTCCAAATTACAAATTATTTCATCTCTGCACCTCCTTCAAACTATCTCCCATATTATTAACAAAGTTCTTTCTAAAAATATCTGGTGGTATTTCCCTAATCAAAATTTGACTTTATTGTCCATTTTCTTTTTTTCTTTTTAGAGAGAGCAAGCGAGTGTGTGAGAAAGGGGGGTGGGGCAGAGAGAGAATCTTAAGCAGGCTCCATGCTCAGAGCCTGACACGGGGCTTGACCTCACAACCCTCAGATCATGACCTGAGCCAAAATTAAGAGTCAGATGCCCAACAACTGAGCCACCCAGGCACCCCATTCATTGTCCGTTTTCTAAGAATAAAAATTAAATTCTGAAGTGTCGCATACGAGATTGGCCATATAGGCCATCTTGTTGCATCTCCAGTCACTTTGTACAATGAACCAATTCAGAGGTATATTGTTCCTCAGAACCCCAATTTTTCTCAGAGGTCAATGAGTAGGGAAGAAGGGAGAGGTTAACTATGTAGAGCACCAGAACCATGCCCTTTCTTCAACAAGAACAGAAATAAAATTTCATTTGAAAAACATATTGAAGGAGGCAGTTAAGAGAAATACAAATGGCTTTTTAAGCATATTAAAAGATATTCAACATCACTCATAATGCAAATTATAACAAGATCATGTTTTTTACCAATTAGACTGGCAAAGGTTAAAAACAAAAAAGCTGATAGTATACCATGTGGGAGGATACAGGAGAAGAAGCACTCTCATTCCACAGAAATGAATATGGATGGCTAAAAAGCCTTTGTGGAAGGAAATTTGGTAACATCTATCAAAATTTAAAATGCATGGATCTCCAGACTTAGATTCCAGAGGAGGAATCCATCGTACAAATGACATTTACTGCAACACTGTACCTGGGAGGAAGATATCAAAATCAACCTAAGGGTTTATCAAGGGGGACTTACTTCAAGAAATTGTTTTTCAAGAGACTTTTTTTCATACATCATGCAACACAATGCTATGCAGCTATTCAGAGGATGTAAGGATGTGCTGACATATAGCATGATCTTTACAACGACTGCAAGGTAGAATATGCCACCATTTGCATTTCCAACAACTCTCTCTGTAAAAAGGGATACACTGATACACAAGTGCATATTTGTGTGTGCACAAGGGAAAAATCTCTGGAAGAACACAAGAGAAACTGTTAATAATGTTTGCCTAAGTGAAGGAGGATGTGAGATCAGGGGTGAGAAGAAAGACTTATTTTTCACCATATATTCTTTTGTATTGTTTGTAATTTTTAACATGGGTATGTATTACATTTTCAAAAAAATATTTCACAACCTTTTAAAAATAGATGGGGGGGAAAAGTCCATTTCAGCATCCTCCCTAAAGAAAACTTGAAAACTTCCGGGCGCCTGGGTGGCTCAGTTGGTTAAGCAACTGCCTTCGGCTCAGGTCATGATCCTGGAGTCCCAGGATCGAGTCCCACATCGGGCTCCCGGCTCAGCGGGGAGCCTGCTTCTCCCTCTGACCTTCCCCCCTCTCATGTGCTCTCTCTCTCTCAAATAAATAAAATCTTTAAAAAAAAATAAAAAAAAATAAAAAAAAAAAAGAAAATTTGAAAACTTCCTTTCTAATCACTTTATTCTTTCTTCCCTAGGTAGACTTTGTACTTAAATAGTGCCAAGGTTTCATTCATGAGATAATGAGGACATTCCACGGTCCATCATCTTTGCTTCATTTCAACCACACTCATCCTTCAAGGCCCGCAAGGCTCAAAAATCACACAAAAAGTGACTAAAAATTTAACAGTCTATTTTCAAAGTCCATAATATGCTCACTACACCACTCTGCATCCCTAAGTACAAGGTCAAGTGGGTGTCTAATTTGTTCTATTTCCAGCACACTGTAAGCACTCAACAAATGTTTTTTTGAAAGATTAATGAATGCATAGGAGAGGGGAGCAGAGCTCCTTAAAACCTGAATGAACAACCTCATTTCTATACTGGACATCTAGAAACATAGAGGCACAAGACCAATAATAGAGTCATATGATCACTTTTATACAACGCAAAGAAGAGCTAAGTGTAAAAGCTTGAATTATAACTATGGATGAGGGTGCAACTAGACTTTCCCACCTTTGAGGTAATACTTTACAGTTGCTTTGAAAAAAGAAATTGTGATGTCTTCTACACTGCCACTTAACTGTTTATGTAACTGAATTCTTCCCCTACTAGACTTAATGAGCTCTAGGTCTTATATAGTTTTGTTATCTCCCTCAAAGTCTACCACAGTGCTTTCTATGGATACATTGACAGAAACTGTCTTCATTCTTAGTAACACCAACATTCTGGTGGCTCATGACAGACACTCAATAAACATTTACAGAAGGACAGAAGGGACTAAGGGGACATTAGATAAAGACAATATTTAATGGAAAAATAATACATTTAGTAAAGCTGAATTTAGTCACCTTGTTTTAAAATGTTTACCTAGCAACTAAAGGATTTAGTTACTACCACCTCTTACATGGTCTATGAATGAAACCATTTGGGTTTTTCTTTTAGTCAATCTTAGAGCCATAGAATATGAAAAGTACTACGAACACAGAGAAATAATTACATATTATCTTAGAGCCTGAAAAAGTGAAATAACTTATTAAAAATATCTCCAACTTAAACTAACACAGAAGTAAAATGTTTGACTCCTAATTCCAAGAAAATAAATCAAAAGTTATTGACTTTTAACCTGGTATTAAAAAAAAAAAAAACATAAAACAAACTTTTTTCAGAAACTTGATTTCATATTTTCAATATTTGGCTACATGAAAAATGAATACCTTTGAAATTGTAGTGAAGTCTTATAACTGAAATAAGTACATGAGAAAAGCTTCAGGAAAAGAAAAATGGTGCTATTTTATTAAAACAGGTGGCAAGTGATTAGGATAGTTAAGATTAAAAAAATTATTCAGAACTTTCCAATTTTAACTCTTTTATTGGAAATATGTAGATAAACTAACAGAAGCTCTATTTTTGATTTTTTGTTTTGTTTTGTTTTTTTATAATGGATAGGCTTGCAGCTCTGTCAAAACTTTTCCTTGAACTTTGTATATGCTGAGAAGCCTCACAAAATAATAAATACTTGCTATTCAACTATCTACCTCTACCTTCCCCCTGCCCCCCCAAAAAAGACCTAGGAAGTTTCCAGAGAAAATTTCCCTGGGATGGATAATATTAAAAGCAAAAATCTAAACCATTTCACTATATATATATAACCACACTGTATAACTTACACAACATTACTTGTCAATTTTATTTCAATAAAGCTGAAAAAAGACTACCATTTAGGCAACAGATGTAAGTATTACCACAGAGTATCAGAAGGGACAAGCAGAGATCAGGGATTTATGACCAATGAATGCCTGTGATACATGCTAACTGAATATTGCACACTTAGATATTAAATAATTGCCCAATATAGCATAAATAATTTACTTAAATTGAGTAAAGTAACTAAAGTTCAATTATCAAGTATATTTGCATCTTATAATCCATAATTATACATTAAATGGGTTTTTAAAAATGTGTATTTTTAATGAAACACCTGCCAAATAAGAGAAAACTTTCATGTATTTGTGTTGTGGTAATATAACAATATCTCCTTCTATAAAAGGACAAAACAAACCCAAACTGGCTTTTGTTTAAAAATTTTAAAAATATGATTTTCTTTTAGCAGGCATGTGTGCATGGACATAATAAAAAAAACATTAAAATGCCTGATATGTTATCTAAAATCTCTCTAACTTTTCATTGAGTAGAAGGTAAGTCTGAGAAAAGCCATTATGCAAAAATAGTAAACTAAAATGTTCTCAAAATTAAAAAAAATCTTCAGGGTATTTTTTTTTTTTTAAGATTTTATTTATTTATTTATTTGAGAGAGAGAGAGAGAGGGTAGAGGGTCAGAGGGAGAAGCAGGCTCTCCGCTGAGCTGGGAGCCCGATGTGGGACTCGATCCCAGGACTCCAGGATCATGACCTGAGCCGAAGGCAGTCGCTTAACCAACTGAGCCACCGAGGTGCCCCTCTTGAGGGTATTTTTAAAACAAAAATACCACATAAGTATATTTGGAACAAATAATCTGCCCAATATACTGATATACCTGTTCAAATCAGGATAAAGTAAAGATGTTATCTTATGGGAAACACAATATACATATTTCTTCTTTATACATATATACATATATGAATATACGTAAACATGTATATTACATATACCTATATGCATTCCTATTCAAGTATAAGGCAGAAAAAAGCAAAACCAAATCAAAACACCTTTATTAATTTCATATACCAATTACTATGACAACTTCTCTCATTTTTCATTGAGACAACTAAAATATAACTACCCAAACAAGTTATTTTATCATAAACTTCAAAATACTACAAATCCACTGAGCTCTGCTGGGCTTTTTTGCAAACATATAAAATTCTTTCTTTCTAAATTTCCACTAGTTCCTAATAAGATATCCTATGAGTCAAATTTCACTGAAGAGTTTTAAGTCTCTTTTAAAAATGTGGCCCAACATAAAGTATTTAAAAAGATAAAACCTGGTTTCATATGTATTTTTCCATTATTTCAAAAACTGAATTAATTTCATCTTTTAAAACAAAATTTAGACAATCTTCAGGGCAATTCAGCTAACTTACAGTGTTAGTTGGATCTTCTTGTAAAATTCTATCATATAGTTGTACAGCATCATCATATCTATATAAAAAGAAAAAAAATCAAGAATCATTATTTTAAATTTTAGTGACAAATAGTAAATACAGAAAAAGATTAAACTGGCAGGACTTTAAATGCATTTAAAATTGCAATCCAAGTCTCTTCTGATCTTCATGTAACAACAGATATTTGCTACAGTATCATTTTTTACAGAAAAAAATTCATGTATAAAGTATTTATAGAAAAACTTACTTAATATACTGATTCATGAACAACAACAAAAAAAGAGATGAACAAAAATGCACTGATTCAATCTGGCCTAAATACAAAGGTAAAAACTAGCAACACAAAGATACCTTTGTGGTCCTAGGTATACCTAGAATTACAGCCAATAAAGCATAAGAACAAGTTTAATTTTAATAAACAAATCCATAAGGAAATGATCTGTGATTTAATTCTCCTCTTTAATGAATACTTATGATAGCTTTTCTTAGTTGAGTTGGTTCAGTTCAATTCATTAAGCACCTGTTAAATATACACCTGAAATACACTCTCATGGGTTACAATCTTATAAAGGAAATAGTTAACAATTTATCAATGAAAAAAATAATCAAATATTTCAGCATATGACTAACAAGGCAAAATAAACATTATGTGATAGGGAATCAAGGGGAAGGATACATCAGAAATCACATAAAGAACATCATATACTCTTATATTTGGGAATCTTGTTCAGGGTGTAAGGGAATAACTGATTCTGAAATTCCTTCCTAACAGTATCCATAACCCTAACTCTACTCCAATCAATTTCTCCATTTCTAGATACAGATCTTTAAAGAAAACAAAGAACAATGTTTAAAAACTTTCACAGCAATGTTTCTAAAACTAGGAACAACAGCTAAATTCTTGAGATCTATTCATAAGTTTCCTAATTTTTTAATTTTATATTTTTCTCTTAATGATATTCAATATATGAATATTCTATTATCATAACAATGACACATCTTTTAACTAAATACTGCCCCACAATTTTAGTGCCCAAGCCTCTTTGTGATTATGATCATGCTAGTAGGTAAGAATATTTTAACTGTAGCAGAGAACTGAGAAAAATAAAAGCAGACTTAATTTGTAAATGTGTTCATACCATACAAAGACCAAATAGCATCACTGCACACTAAGTCAATCAGACTTGAGTAGTTCAAATTAAATTAGTTTGGACCTCAAACACATGGTAATATAGAAGTATGTTAGCCTCAAAAGAGCCTGCAACTAAATGGGGAAACCTAAAATAAAATCATTAAATAGTAATAAAACAAAACAATGAAGTATACAAATAAGGACAAAATAAATGTTATACAGCAAGGGTTCTCACAAGACAGAGTATATGAGAATCCCCTGGGAATCTTTTTCCAACTATATAATCTCTGACAAACACACTGGGAATAACAGAAGATAATAGGAAACCATTCATTTCATTAATATAACAATAACCTGAATTTTAGTAGTTTTCTAGTTTTTTGGGTTTTTTATTAGAAAACCTACATTGTTTTTATAGTTGTACAAAAACTATACACACAGTGGCACCTGGGTGGCTCAGTCAGTTAAGCATCTGCCTTTGGCTCAGGTCATGATCTCAGGGTCAGGTCAGACTCCCTGCTCAGCAGAGTTTGCTTCTCCTTCTCCCTTTGTCCCTACCCCCAGGTTATGTGCTCTCTCTCTCTCTCAAATAAATAAATAAAATCTTAAAAAAAAAAAAAAACTACACACATAAAGTATTAATACCTAGTTTTATATTTAAATATATTTAAGTTTTACTATAATTAAAAAATAGTAAGTTCTGTAAAAACTATGATGGTTAATTTTTCTAACTGAGCGTGATGAATATCAACTTGACTGGCCATATGGTGCCCAGATTAAATACTATTCCTGGATATGTCAAAGGATACTTCCAGGTGAGATCAGCATTTGAATCTGTGGGCTCAGTAAAATAGATAGCCTTCCCCAATGTGGGTGGACATTACCCAATCCCATGAGAGCTTGAATAAAACAACTGCAGAGGAAAGAGGTGTTCACCCCTTTTTACTGCCTCACTACTTGGGCTGGAACATCTCATCTCAACTTCTCCTGCCCTTAGTCTGGAATTTACACCATCGACTCTCTGGTGCTCAGGCCTTTGGACTTGGACTGAGACTGAACTACATCACCAACTTTCCTGGGTCTCCAAGTTGCAGACAGCAGATTCTAGGACTGCTCAGCCTCCATAATTGCTTCATAATAAATCTCACCCTCTCCCTATGCATCCTTCCTCCCTCCTCTCACCCCTATATATGTACAGCAGTATCTTCTTGGCTCTGTTTCTTTAGAGAATCCTAATACACTGAAGGTCCACAAGAATTTACCTTTAGTCAGCAATGTTCTCAAACCTACTTGTCTATTCTCCTGCAGGGCTTCTTTTAAAAGAAAGATCTGGATTACACCCCTAACAAAGTGATCTCAGTTAAGTGGGGAGTAGGCAACTACATATTTTTTTTTAACATGCCACAGATCACTCTAATTCAAAGACACATAGTAGTCACTTTAAAAAAAAAAAAAAAACAGCAAAACCTTACTGAGTAAAATGATTACATGAGTTTCAATTAAAGAGTAAGGCTTAAAGAATTAGAGTTCAGTAGGTGTCTTAGAAAACTTGACTTAAAAATAAATTATTGTTACCATATCAATTTTTTTGTTTGGTTAGAAGATGGGTAGAGGGATAGTAACTATTAAAATGTGTGCTTTGAAACTAGTACCTCTCAAATCTTTACAAGTTAATTTTAAAAATCATTCATCTTAGCACTGGGTGTTATACGCAACTAATGAATTATTGAACATTACATCAAAAACTAATGATGTATTATATATTGGCTAATTGAATTTAAATAAACAAAAACAGAAAAATAAAAAAATCATTCATCTTGGACTCTGGGATGTGTTTGGCTATTCACACATTTTAAGAATGCTCTAGAAATTTATACTATTTGAAATAAAACAAAAAGTGATATTAGAGTAGAACACTGATTCAGGAACAGTCCTTTGTAGATTTCTTCCTTCTGTCCTTTGATTCAAAATTACTTTCTGCTAACCTAAAATAATACTATTTTATTTATTTTTCTTTATCTATGCCCTTCACTTGCTTACAGAGACAGTCTAATGGGATTAAACTGTATATATACACAAACACATAAGCTAAGGAATAAAGGGATTAAGAAAAATTATATCAATACATTCTGCTTACTAAAAGCTACTATGACGTACAAGTTTACTCTGTCTTAACCTAAAACACAAAATTAAAACACTGATGAAAGAAACTGAGAAAATCAAAAGATATCCATGCTCATGGATTGGAAAAATACTGGTAAAACTGTCATACTACCTAAAGTAATGTAATGATTCTGTGCAGTCCCTATCAAAATTCCAACGGCATTTCCCACAGAACTAGAATAATCCCAAAATTTGCGTGGAACCACAAAACACCCTGAATATCCAAAGCCATCCTGAGTAATCAGAACAAAGCTGGAGACATCATACTTCCTGATTTCAAACTATATCACAAAGGTATAGGAATCAAAACATTATGGTATTGGCATAACAACATAAATTAATGTAACACATAAATTAATGTAACAACAGAAAATCCAGAAACAAACCCACACATGCATGGCCAACTGATTTACAAAACAGAAGCTAAAAATATACAATGGGAGAAGAATAGTTTCTTCAATAAATGGTGTTGGGAAAACTGGACAGTCACATGCAAAAAAAATAAAACTGGACCACTACCTTTACACCACACATAAAAATCAACTCGAAATTGATTAAAGACATCAACATTAAGACCTGAAATAGCAAAACTCCTAGAAGAAAACATAAGCAGTAAGCTCTCCGATGTCAGTCTCGGTGATGATTTTTTAGATTTGACACCAAAAGCAAAAGCCAACAAGAGCAAAAATAAAGAAGTGGGACTACATCAAACTCAAAAGCTTCTGTACAACAAAGAAAACATTCAACAAAATGAAAAGACAACCAAGACAGACATACAGGTACATGGCAAACAGGTACATGAAAAGGTGTTCGACATCACTAATCAACAGGGAAATGAAAATCAAAACCACAATGAGCTACTACCTCACACATATTAGAATGGCTATTATCAAAAAGACAAGACATAACAAGTGTTGGCAAAGATGCAGAGAAAAGGAAACCCTGTGCACTGTTGATGGGAATGTAAATTGGCACAGACACCAAGAAAAACAGTATGGAGGTCCCTTAAAAAAATTCAAAATAGAACTACTATTTGATCCAGCAATTCCACTTCTGGGTATTTAACCAAAGGAAACAAAATCACTATCTTGAAAAGATATTTCCAACCTCACGTTCATTGCAGCATTATTTGCAATAACCAATACATGGAAACAACCTAAGTGCCCATTGACAGATGAGTAGATAAAGAAGTCTGACATAATGGAATATTATTCAGCCATAAAAGAGAAAGAAATTCTTTCATTTATGACAACTTGGATGGACCTTGAGGGCATATGCTAAATGTAACAGTCAAACAGAGAAAGACAAATACTACATGATCTCACTTACATGTGGAATCAAAAAGAACACAAACTCACAGATACAGAGAACAGATTAGTGGCTGCCAGAGGTGGGCAGCAGGGGTGGGCAAAATAGGTAACAGTGCTCAAAAGGTACAAATCTCCAGTTATAAAATAAGTCCTGGGAATATAATGTACGGCATAGTCCCTATAGTTAACAATACTGTGTTGTGTAAGTGAAAGTTGCTGAGAGAGTAAATCTTAAAAGTTCTCGTAAGAAAAAAAAAAGTATAACAATGTATGGTAGTGGATATTAACTAAACTTACGGTGGTAATCATTTCACAATATACACAAATATCAGATCATGATGTCATACACCTGAAACTAATACAATGTCAATTATATCTCATTAAAAAAATAAGTAACTTCTATACCTCGAATACCTGAAAGGGTACTACACATATGTCATTACTAATTCCCAAAACAACCCTGATAAATTGGTAGTACTCTCATTTTGCAGAGGAATAAGGCTAAAAGGCTTAAATAAGTTATATAATGTGCCAGATATACAACTAATAAATCCTAGAAACAGGATTTAAAACCAATCCTTACTCCAAAACACAATCCCATTTCACTAGGCCAGAGATGGTAAATGAATTGCACTCCTGTGTCAAATCCTATTTATTGGGAGTAACGGGCAAGATTTATGCTGAAAAGCACTCTGACACTATTCTGAAGCTCAGTAGCAAAAGATCTTGCACAATTAATGATGTTGTCATGGAGGCAGGAGGACCTATATCTAGACCCCATGTTTGCCATTTTAAAATGGGATCATACTGTTTTTAGATTCAGTTACCTTTCCATGGCTTCAAATCTCATGCCAGTTAGTCTTTTGACTCTGTGACTGCCAGGGAACTGTCTTCTCAACTCCTGAAGACAAAACTGAAAAAATAATCGGTAAAAAAGACTTAAAGAGTAGTAAGTACATTACATTACATACACTAAATGGGCTACAAGGAATGGCCTATATAGTCTTCTTAAATCATTTCATTAGTGTGCTCTAACAACATGAAGTGAAATTAACTGGTAATGAATAACGGGGTAAAAGAAGAACTCTGAAATTACAGTGGGAGCAACAATCAGTTCTCAGAAACTGATTATACTCTTAACTGGGAAAATAAGCAGGTCATGGGATACACTAATAACTCTTCAGATACTGCCATATTACTCCTCCTTCACAATTGCTTCCATAATGTGTTAGGCCCAACTTAAACGTTTATAACAACTTCCTGGCTTTTAGTTTCTATTATCTAAGCATTCTCTTGAAAAAATTAAGCTCTTTGACAGTACTCCCAAGTCCTGCAAATACTATAACACTATTTGCCCTGTTAATACATGCCCTCATGTATTAACCAATCATTTTGTCAGTACACATACCATGATTTGGGGTCATAAAACACAGACACCAAATCTGGAGAGTACCAATCTCCTTTGGGAGATATCCATAATTCACCCATCAACTTCAATAAATAAATAATCAAGTATTTTGAGCACCAACTATGTTCTCAGCAACATATGAGGATTTTAAGAGTCTTGGAAGCACTAGAAATACTAAGGATTATAAAAATGGTCCATTCTAGTGCCCCAAAGCATAAGTGACCAAAAAAATACCTTTCACTAGTGAAGAAACTATTAGTTAATAAGAAAGTAAGTTATAACATGATCTGGAAGTATAGCTTTCAAGTATGTGGCTAAAAATCTGCCACACTAAGAAAAATATTCAAGTTAGTCAAAACTGAAGATGATGTTCGCTTATTTCTTTGACACCACACAAAACTCATACTGTTTGGTCAATTAAGCTGTGTAGGAATTCTGAACATTAAAAAAAATACTGTGTTACAAAAAAAGCTACCATTTAATTTGATCTCCTGCTTTGGTTATCAACATTATCTAATTTGATTCTCCTACTTTATCAAATGGCATTTGGCTACTTAAAAAACAACTCAATATTTCCCTTAAGATGTAAGCTGCCACCTCTGTAAATATTTAAAAGACTATTTCAGGGTTCAGTTGGTTAAGTGTCCAACTCTTAATTTCAGGTCAGGTCATGATCTCACGGTCATGGGATCGAGCCCCAGGTTGGGCTCTGCACTGAGCATAGAGCCTGCTTGAGATTCTCTCTCTCCCTCGCCCCCCAACTCTCCCCCCTTAGATAGATAGATAGATAAATAAATAAATAAATAGACACTCATAGGTTCTGAAGGTAATCTAAAAGGTTTTACGGAATATTTTTTTTACTACTAGCAGCTCCACTGAAATTAGATGTATAGCCAACATAACATAATTAATTACCTTGGAAAAAAAACAATGCTATTTCAGAGATGCATATATTCTCTGGTATTTCTACTTTCTGTTTGCATGTACTTTCTTTGTGGCTTAAATGAGGAAGTAGCATAAAGTAGTACTTAAGAACTCAGGATTATAAAACAATAGAACAAAAAAGCCAAAACCTCCACTTTTTGATTTATGAAATGAGTATAATGATAGTGTCAAACAAAAATCAAATTAAGAAATAACTGTTAAGATTAAATAAAGTATGATATAAAGCATTTAGCACAGGGCCTATCACAAGTGTTCAAAAATATAGCTATTATCATTCTTTTATTTTAAAAGCAGTATTAATATTTTAAGTCATATCCTACACGTGTTAGATTTTCTAATAATTTAAGAGATATATTTACAACACTGCAAAAGAGTATTTAACATTATGTATAGATCTTCCACTTAAAATAGGGTTACATCCCAATAAATCCATGGTAAGTTCAAAATATTGAAAGTCAAAAATGCATTTAATACACCTAATCTACTGGGCGCCTGGGTGGCTCAGTTGGTTAAGCGACTGCCTTCGGCTCAGGTCATGATTCTGGAGTCCCTGGATCGAGTCCCGCATCGGGCTCCCTG